CAATACAAATTGGCAATCACAATATTAGTTCGGCCAACAAATATTTTCACCCCTAAAACCCCCACACACACCTGTCCCTCCTTTGGTGCACTGATTCAAAAAATTCAACGCCCAATCACAAAGCACTAGAGTACAGCAGTAATGTATTCATTATCTTTATTTCAGAAAATGTTTCAAATCAACCTTGCCTAAAATAAAAAAAAGTTCACATTTTTAATGTAATGTAGAATGTACTTTGTAAAAATTGCCTTTATAAAATTTTCGAGTATAATTCAAATTTATTCAAAAACTCCAAAAGGGAAAGATCACCAGAATAAAATGTAACAAAGCAAACAAAGAAAGCACAATACTTAAGCTTTGATCTTACCAGCTCTCTCCTCCTGACACCGCCAGGTATACTAATGAAGCTGCAGCATCCTAGCACATATGTGTTTAATGTATACTGTATATATATATTATATTGAACAATATGAAATAAATACTTAAAATTGATAAATATATAATAAAATATTGCTATTAATTGGAATATTTCACTTTAAAAAATTTCAATTAATTTCATCAAAGTTTTTTTTTACTTCTAACAAATCTTTAAAAACACTGTGTTACATCTAGTCATTATTGTAAACAAATTATACATTTCAGTTATGTCACTAATGACCCCCCCCCCATCCCCGAACCTCAAATTTTCCAAAATCATAAAAAAATAGAGAAAAAAAATAATATTCATATTTAAGTCTGAGAGTGCCATTTCCAGCCACATTGAGGTGCCATAATACAATGGTCATATTCAGGTGGGTGTATATAATAAATATATAAATGAAAAATTAATTTATCCTTGGTATAATTAAAAGTATTGAAGAATAATGTAAATCAATCAAAGTGGGACTAAACTAATAACAATACAGTAAACCAATTAAAATGAAGGTAAAAAATAAACCGGTCACAAATATACTTAAGAATATCCAACTATTTATACTCATTACCACATGATGAAAATGATGCCAATACCATAGTTCCTCGAGTATAATCCCAGCCCATATTTTATGCCTAATTTTACATACTAGCCTTTCCTCAGGAAAAAGCCCAGCAGTTATGATTTGAATGAGTATCTAAGCTGAATTTTACAAATACTCAAAAAGAAAATTGAATATTGTCTTTAAATTAGGCATGCAGGGCTAAAAAATCACCTTTTGATTGAAATTGGGATTTCCTGGGTATAACCCCACCCCCAAAATTTTATGTTCAAGCAGGAGGTGGGAGGGGGCTAGTACCAGAGCAACTACAGTAAAGTAATTCAATTATACTAATGTCAAAACCCAATTAGAAAAAACTAAATTAATACACAATGTTTTTTTACTAACTGCAGTAAGCAGGCACAGTTCAAACTGAAGCTCAGGGAAATACCCCACTTTTCTTCTAACCTCACCCCTACTGCTAAGCAAATGAGCTGCTCAAGCCTCAATACTTATGTTTATGTTTCTTAAGCTTTTTGACTTTATGTTTTTTGCCATGATGTTTATAACCTGAGTCACTGTCAGAAGAACTGCTACTACTGCTACTACTGCTACTGCTGCTGCTGCTTGAGCTGGAACTGCTGTGTTTTTTGGACTTTTTCTTCACTTTCTTAACCTGAAAAAAATGAAAACTTAAATTAATCAGAAAAACAATAATATTTATCCTATTTTAAGAGGATCAAAAACCAAACACCAGCAAATTATTCACTATTTTCTACATAATACCGTAAAACCTAGAATTGAAGCCCTGGGCTACTTCTTATTTTTTTGCTAACTTTAGATGGGCTTCTTTATGAGGCTACTTATTCAAAGTAAAGAGAGAGAGAGGGAGGGGGGGGGAAGGGGGCTTCTTTTCAAAATGAATGCTGTCAATTTTTTGAATTTGTATTATAAAAAAATAAATACGACCACTGTAACATTAATCTGTGTAATGGAGTATATTTAACTGACATTAAATCACCTAAACTACTGTATAAACCAAACTTGTTTGAACTTTTAGCAGGAAACATTTCTTTAAAGTTATTTTTTTATTTCAAACTTGTTAACAAACACTGCAAAACTGAATCT